ATAGTTACTAAAGAGTATTGTATTGAAATTATGTATATAGAAATATATATACAACAGATGTAGATCATCTAGTTGTAAAAGTAATTCAAACAATAATAAAGTACTTGACCAAAGGGTTACCTTAATACCAAAAAAAAAAAACAATCAACAAAAAGTGGTCAAGCTTATTTGCAAAATTAAAAAGAGGCTAATCGACTTATGCAGCCTTTTCTTCTAGAAAACAAATAAGAACCAAGAATGAGAATATATTAATTATCGAAATACAAGATATTCAAAGCTCTTTTAATGAAATAATGATCTTACTTTATAAAAGTGTCAAATAAGATATCATAGCAGCAAAGCAACACTTCAAAAAGAGTAACTGCACACACTTAGAAATTATTTTTTCTAACAAGAATACTTTTAGTCATCATGCAGCCAAGGATATCAATATCTTTAACAAATCATACTTTGGTTATATTCCAACAGATTTACGAAAGTCTTTCCTTCCAATAAAGCTCAGAAATATTCTATTAGGAGGAAAAGAAGAAATAACAATGCTAATTAAAGATACATTTCAAAATTTTGGCAAAATAGCTTCAATCAAACTACTGGTAATTGAGAGAACACCATATTTAACTGATCAATGGATTGTCATTTTTGATACAACAGAAGATGGAGATTTAAAAAAGTGAATCCCTATTTCACCCATCTTAGAGACAACAAAATCACAACTGAATGGAAGGCAGCTCCTAAAGTCTGCTACTTCTGTGACCAAGAAGGGCATATAAAAAAAGAATGCTTTTAATTCAAAGAGTCAGTTGCATTAAGACAACACTATCAAGAGTTTAAGAAAACCTTCAAGACAAAAAACAGAGACTATTTTAGCAAAACAGCTCAAGAAGTAGAAAGTTCTCTAAAAACTAAAGAAAAAAAGGAATCAAAAGAAGAAGCAATGAGTATAAAAACATTTAATAAGCAAAAGATAAAGGATATCTCTTATAACACAGATGATGAAATGCAAGACACTCAAAAAGAAGCTGAACAAGCAACCACTTTCTCAGAAGCAGAACTTACAACAAGAGATGAGCTTGCATTAGATGGCTCATTTTTTAAAGATAACAACAAAGAGAATAACTCTCCTCAAGAGAATATATTGTCAGCAATTCCAATGGAAGAAGACTTTACAACTGTATCCTACAAGAAGAAAAAAAAAAACAAATAAATCAAAATATACGTAAGCAAGCAACAGTAAAATAAGCTCCATACAAGAAAGAACAAACAGAGGAGAATTCTCCAAAAGTTTAATAAGAGCACACTTACCTTATAATATCTAATGACTAAAGCAATAATTAAAATTGCTACTCTAAATATAAAAGGACTTAATGATCAGAACAAAAGACAAAAAACAATGATACTTTTAAAATTTTATAATTTAGACCTAATACTATTACAAGAAACAAATCTAAACAACCAGGCAATACAAACCTTTAGGGCAGTATCATTTATTACCTGATTATTTTTATCAGAGGTTTACTCCCCTCCCCTTCTTAATATATATAATTTTAATTTTTTTTACTCCTCCCCTTCTAAAAAATCACTTGATTTTTGTCATGTCCCTTATTAAGAAGCAATAGATTTATGAATCAATTTGGACAAACAAGACTGCTGTTTTGGCAGAAAGGAAAGAAATAAAATTTCAAAACACTGAGATTCTACACAAAGAAAGAGTGGTTCTTACAAGCTTCATATACAGAGATCGATTTTTCTCAGTTACAAACCTATATGCTTCTCCAAACATAAAAGGCAAAATAGCTTTTTTTGACAAATAGTCTTCACAATATAAAAAAAATACTATCAATATTCTGGCAGAAGATTTTAATACGAATCTAAACCCGACTATAGACAGAATAAGCTAAGCTACACCACAAAATAATAATATCAGAATTCAACTTAAAGATCTGGTAAAGAACTACATAGACTTTGCTATATATGCAGAGCAAAAACCTTTTCTCACATTTTACCAAAAGGTCCAAAACAATTAAACAATAGCAACTAGACTTGACTATATCTTTATAGATGAG